GCGCAGCGACACCTCCCCCGAGCGAGAGGCGCGCAACCCGCATTCCCGCGATGGGTAGCTGCTAGGCATGGATTCCTCTGGGCACCGGAGGAAGGCGGGAGAGGAACGTGTAGGAGAAGAAAACAAGGCCGTCTGTTCCCCCCCCCGCTCTGAGGCAGAAGAGCGGGGGGGGGCGTTTCCAGGACCAGGCTTCGGAATGGCGCCCAAGGGCAGCAGCCCCTTCGGCGCGACTACATGGGCTACTACTGGAGCTCTGCTGTCCGGAAAGGGAAGCCGGGCGTGGGGGGGGAGGGAGGTAATTGGGAGGTTTTTTTCCCTGCTCCTTGTGCTGGGCTTTAAGAACTGTGCTCCTTGGCCTGTGAGGGGGCTCTCCCCCTTTTTTTTTCCTGACTGGCTGACAGGGCTTGGTCGGGCCATGCAATTAAATAAGGATGTTCCTGGGCCAAATCGGTGACTCTAGCGCAGATTATGTACGACCTTTCAAGACTTCAGAGGGATCATCCCAAGTCTTAACCTATACATGACTTCATACAGGGAAAACCTGTGTTGTCCTTGAGCTGTGGGCCTTCTGCAGTGTGAGAGAATTTTCCAAGTAATTTATCTGAGAAGCAGATTTTTGGCCCTCCAGAATACACAGCTCCAGTTCCCTGCTTATTTTGTAATCAGTATTACAGTATATTACAGCAAGGAGACCAGTTAGGCATCTGGCTGCAAAACCAGAGGTTGGGAATTGGATTCACCACTGTGTGGCCTAGAAAAGCTAGCCTGTGTGGTCTTGGGCAATCTGCACAGTCCCGGGATGCCCCCAAAAGAAGGGAACGGTAAACCACTTTTGTATACCTAGAAAACCTTAAAAAGGGCTGCCATGTCAGAACTGACTTGATGGCGCTCAATTATTTTTATAGAACCCACGTAAAGGTAAAGGTTCCCCTTTACAATTGTCCAATTATGTCCGACTCTAGGGGGTGGTGCTCATCCCCATTTCCAAGCCACAGAGCTAGTGTTTGTCCAAAGACATGACTAGACATGGAACACCATTACCTTCCCACTGTGGTGGTACCTATTTATCGACTTGCATTTTTACATGCTTTCGAGACTAGAGATGGAACACCATTACCTTCCCACTGTAGTGGTACCTATTTATTGACTCACATTTTTACATGCTTTTGAGCTGCTAGGTTAGCAGGAGCTGGGACAAGCAACGGGAGCTCACTCAGTCGCGTGGATTCAAACTGCTGATCTTTCAACCTTGCAGCCCAGAGGCTCTGCGGTTTAACCCGCAGTGCCACCATGTCCCTTGTATATAGAACCCAGTACAAATGCTTATTTGTTTGCTTTTTGTTTGTTTGTTTCTCCCAGATTTGGGATCCAAGGCAGCTTCCAGAACAGTTGACAACAATAGCAGATTAAAATATAATGAAATCACAAACATTAAAACAGGATTAAATTCAATTCTAGAGTTAAAATGCAATTGAAGTTTAAACTGTTTAAAACCACTTAATTGAAAGTAGTAACATTCATTTGCCTGAAGCATGAAAGCCAACACATCAGCTGAGATTGTATACTTGGAGGCTCGTAATTGCTCGAGACCTGTCAGGTTTTAGGGTAACATTCCCCTCTTCCTCGGTTCCTCCATAAAAAACACAGATCCTATAGAATTCACAAAAGTCTAGAATTCATTCCAGCAAACATTTCTCTTTATATAAAGGAGTTTCATTTCCTTGAAATTCAGGTTATAAAATATAGAAAATAATTTTTAAAAAACCAAAAAAAATCCATCTGAGTATGGTTGACACACCTGCCTAAATAAAAAAAAATATTTGCCTACATCCCATAGGAAGACCAAGGCGAATGTCAACCTAGCCCCTTAGCAAGCCGTTCCAGAGCCCCCAGTGTAAAATGCTCTTTCCTGTTCAGAGCTGTAGCCAGCCATGCTTTCTTCCTTGCTTCATTGTTTCATGCCCCCTCCCCCAAATGATCTGTTTCATTCTCTCCTCCCTGCCTGGATATTTCTTGATCCTTTTCAGACCACAGAGCAATAGCACCTAATTCCCCACCACAGCATCAATCAGTGCTCCATGCCTGGTCAAATTGCACAATGTCCATTTCAGGCTGTTAAGAGGTTCTGATCCCTGCCATAAGGTTTCCCCTTAATTTCGTATGGTTGTGTATTTCTGCAAAACTTGGGGTTCCCCCATCGGTTTGCCTATACAGTACTTGCCTACAGTGGGGTCTTGACTTAAGAACGGCTTGAGTTAAGAACATTTTGACTTAAGAACTGCTCTCATAGCAAAATATTGACTTGACTTAAGTACTTAGATTTGAGTTAAGAACTGAAAAAAACCCACGTGGGAGGCAGGGAAAGTGCAAAAAGTGAACTTTCAGTTAACTGTTGGCCAGTGAAAAGGGTGCCTGTCTGCTTCCTCACTCCTCCCAGCGTTTAGAGAGTGGATAGGGAGACAGTCTTCAGACTGCCTGCTCCTGTACTGCCTGGACTGTATTTTCCCTGCCTTCCCTGAACCTTTCTTGACCTAAGAAAAAAAGAAACAAAATATCCCCCTCTAGGGCAAATGTCAACCTAGCCCCTTAGCAAGCCGTTCCAGAGCCCCCAGTGTAAAATGCTCTTTCCTGTTCAGAGCTGTAGCCAGCCATGCTTTCTTCCTTGCTTCATTGTTTCATGCCCCCTCCCCCAAATGATCTGTTTCATTCTCTCCTCCCTGCCTGGATATTTCTTGATCCTTTTCAGACCACAGAGCAATAGCACCTAATTCCCCACCACAGCATCAATCAGTGCTCCATGCCTGGTCAAATTGCACAATGTCCATTTCAGGCTGTTAAGAGGTTCTGATCCCTGCCATAAGGTTTCCCCTTAATTTCGTATGGTTGTGTATTTCTGCAAAACTTGGGGTTCCCCCATCGGTTTGCCTATACTTGCCTATTTTACATGCTATTTAAATGTCCATATACAGCAAGGAGAATTCATATGGCAATTCTTATTTGTGTAGTCATTTCATGTTTTGTTTTGTATTGTGTTACATTAATTAGAGACACCACCATTCTTTAAGGTTAGCTAAATGTGGGAATAAATTGGAGTGCAAAGCAATCTCATTTGTACTTAGGAGATTCAAGGCAAGTTACCTGTGTTGCTTGAAAGTAAGTGTGCATAGTATTTCTGCATCAGTTGAATGAACTACTGCAATCCAGATTTGTCTGACTGCTCAAATAGCAATTGAGTGGAACAGCATGGGAAATGGAGGGGCATAATATAAGGCAGTCTCCCACTTCAACTGCTAAAAGGCCTCCTGTAGAGCCATTTGCTATTTGTAGCCTGCTCTAGAAATGTGAAATAACATGCCAACAGATCTGTTGACTCTTACACTTCTAAACATACCTGATAACATCAAAAGAATAATCACAGCCTATTACTGTATCTGAGGCTCAATTCTATAAACACCTGTTAATGGTTTTTATATTGTGCACTCATCATTGTTTTGTACGTACAACATCATTGTTTTGTGTACTCTTTGTATCTTTAAGGGTCTGAAGCTCAATAAAGTACGTACAACATCATTGTTTTGTGTAGTCTTTGTATCTTTAAGGGTCTGAAGCTCAAACTGTAACATGCATGCCATTCTGTAGAGTATTTTTTCAGAGCATATAAGTAGGAGTATGATCAGAGCTTGTAAAATTTTCTTTTTTTGACTTTTAACTCCTAGAAGCCTTCAGTGTCCATGCTAGCTTGTGGGGTCTGAGATTCATTGGTGTAGTGCGGGTTACCAGCACCCAGGACAAGGCAAGTATTGCATCCCGTTGAGATTGCCTAGGGAAGCAGCAGGGGAGGGGACTTGGTGCTGGCAGAGCCCTCTCCCCACATCACCTCTCCATGGTGGCCCACCCACCTGGGAAGAAGGCAGGACTGCTCTGGGCCACCTTTGCCGTGTGGACGGCCCTCTCCAAGAAGCTGGGTTTGCTTTGCCATTGTGAAATCCTGCCACCACCAGCCCAAAGAAGAAAACGGAGTGAATAAGACGACTGCAGTACAAAGAGGGGAGTCGAGGCTCATGCGCTTTCTTGCCTACTGTGTGCTGTGCCTCGTCTGATGGCTCAGTGGCTGGGCTAATATTTTGCTCCTAGGGCCACCATCCCTGTGGCCCTACCCATGCTATGCCACTGCTGGGAGTTGTTAAAAAACCTCTGCAAATGGTGCAAAAGGTAGAACAGCTGCTTAGCCTTCCACAGCAACATTCCTCCACCCCAGATCAGTCCACTCCAAAAGGAAGCATATGAAAGAGTTGAAAGAGGAGAGTGCACCATCTCCTCCAATAAAGGAAACTGTGTTAACAGAATCAAAAGAGGGAGTGAAAAAGATAGGGGAGAATGTGACTAGAGATGAAAGGGTTAAAACAGATTTGTCTGGTAGAAGACGGAAAAGGAAAAGAGGAGGAGGAAATAAAAGTAGGAACGGGAAGGATAGTTTTCAGTGCACCAAGACACCCGTGTAGAGAAAAGGAGGAAAGGGAATACAAACGAGCGAGTTATCTTTTAGTTGATTTACCAAACTTAAAAGTAGGAAGTCTTCTACCAGATCCTTTTGAGGGAAAGGATGAGGTAACTGTAACCGAGACAACAGAATGGACGGTGGTCGTGTTCCCAAGAGGACGTGGTTGCT